CAGACAAAATGTTATTGTTGTTATAGATCTGCACAGTGTTATGGCTTAATTAGCTGATTAGAGTGGGACACTTTGAGCCTAGAATATTGCACCTTTTCACAATATTCTAATTTTCTGAGTCTTATCTCATATATTAGTTTCATCTTTTAAGTTGCATTACTGAAATAAATGAACTTTTATACTATATTCTAATTTTTTGAGTTTCACATGTATATAATATAAAATAATATTAACAATTATGGGTGGAGGGGGGGAATAAACATATGTTGCATATTAAATGGTGTGAGCAGTGGTTTTGAATTGACCTAAAGGACTGTAGCAGGGGCACAACTCACTCCCCCTTTGAATCAGCACAGCAGAACTGTGATATAGAAGTTTCTCTGCCTTACTGTCATATACAAATCTTCACATAAAGAATCCTCTGTTGTACCTCAGTCACTATATTCATCCACATCGATTAGACATTACCAAGAACAGAGCAACAGTAAAGCAGTGTTTTATTTCTTCAGCAACTCTTTACACTCGAAGTGTTTTTTTGTTCCCCACACCCTTTCCCATTCAAAAACAAAATGAAAGCAAAATCAATGCCTTTATGAGCATGTGTGATGTCCCTTACCTCCCATCTCTATCTGTGCTCAAGAAAATGCAGCCTGAGCAATTTCGTTAAAAGAAAGAAAGGACGATTGGTGATATATGCAGATGATAACCATGTTAAAGGAATGTATGTACATATATGTTTTTGATTTGTAACGGCATACATCAAGGAGACTTGATTTTATCCAGACAATAGGAAAAAAAGGATGCCATCACCAAAGGAGTTGCCCAAGGTAACTGTTGAAAGAAAAAGTATGTCAGTCATTATTTTTTTCCCCACTTCTCTAGGCTTTATGTCTTAATGGACATAGATTTTACAAAAGGTGAACCAGAGGAGCCCTTAGATTTTTATTAGTTAGAGGGGGGGAAAATACAGTTGACTATTGTGGAAGAAGATTTTTCCCCCCTGCTACACCTGGCTTACCAATGATTGTTCTCCTAGTTCATTGTACAGACTGAATGAACAAAAGATGTACTGTTCCTTGAAGGTAAAGTTTGCTGGTAATTACTTCAAAGGATTCTCTAACTGAGTGTGGGCTTTGGGCATGGAGCAGATGTCCTTTGCTTACATGATATAAATCTTGACCAAGATTTCTTGGCCGATGTCCTGGCAGAAGAAGCTTACAGTACATCTGCTATTTTGTTTCTCAAATCAATTGAAAATTGAATTTGAAGGAGAAAAATTACTACAACATGAAATATTCATAAATCATCTGAAGGCTTAGATGAAGATTTTTTTTCATGTTATTGAACTTAACTGTGTTATTCTCTTTCCTCACCCTCAATCTTGTTTTTTAGTCATGCCAAGCTGACCTTGTGAAGGACAATGGTCACAAATATTTCCTTTCTGTTTTGGCAGATCCTTATATGCCGGTAAGATTAAGTAATCAATCCCATTTCCCTTCCATCACTTCCCTCCCTCCCATCCATCTGTTTATAACTTATGTGTTGTGTCTTGGCTCACGTGCAACTCTTATGTGATTTAATGAGGTTTTATAGACGGCAAGAGTTCTTATGCAATTCTAATATGCGGTATGCTTTGTTGAATAACAGCAGTGAAAAAAAGTAAATATAACTTTTCCCCTCTCCTTAAGCTATTAAAAATATTGACAGTGCATTCAGGATATTCATGGGAAAATGATTCTTCATGCAATATGACTGAATTCGTCATAGTGAGTTAATTAATATAAAACATGGTGATGGTGTGTTTGCTTGTTTGTTTGTTAATTAAATTACTGGCTAGATGGGCTATTCCTGCCCTATTCAAAGGGAAGTTATCTGAGCTAGTGCTGTTATGCTAACTTCATTTCCCTGATTTCCTCTGCTGAGCACCCTGATGGGAATAGGAGAGTCTATTAATGTCCAGCTGCTTTCCTGTGAGATTCCTTTGTGTTATCACAGTTGCCTTGATTTTGACACTGGGTTGTGCATGCCTTGAAAATGATTCAGACCCTGCACAAATATAGTACTTCTCTGCTATTTATTGTAACAGATCCACTTTTTTCAGGCTTCTATGGTTCCTTAAAATTAATATACAAATTAATATACGTTCTTAAAGCAACTGGACCTTTTTCATGAATAGTGGAAAAGTACTGTGTTTTCATGAAATCTGAAGCATTTCTCCTGAATCATTTATACAGTATGCATAAATCTATTGCATGGGCCTTCAATATAAGAGCTGCAGCTCAGAAGTAAATTTTCCTATTCAGCTCTTCATGCTCAAGCTCAAGGAGCAACATTATACCAACGTAGCATTACCTTTCTTCTGCCATTAGCAACGTAAATAACATGTGACTAGGCTGTAGTCTGTCCATCAGAACAAAATGAAACTTTAGCATCCAGAAGCTGTTGAATGCCTTATGCTAGAGTAAGGGGAGGCTGTTGTCTTCATCCCCTGCTTTTGGATCGAGGGAACTTATCTGAGGTTGGAAAATGGTTTAGTCTTTGGACTGCTCCTCTTATGTTCTTATAGCAATGTTGGAGTAAAAGATACTATATTTCACAAGGAGCAATACATTTTAATTATTTTTCTTCAGTTAAACTCTTTGGGTCTTTGTGAATAAGGCCACAGCAGCCCCGAAGTTCCCTGTGAAAAAGTTACTGTATAAGAATAGATATACAGACAGTACTCACTTTTCAACCCTACTTTGGACCCAAAGGTGCTTTTTCAAAAGGCAGCTGGATTTTTTTTTCCTTGAAGACATTTCACTTTTCATCAAGAAGCTTCTTCAGAACTGAAGAAGTGTCTTGGATGAGAAAGCAAAATGTCTTCAAGGAAAAACCAAAAGCCCAGTTGCCTTTTGAAACAGCTCCTTTGGGACAACCATGACCTGGAGGACTCAGAATCTCTGTAGGTGCCTGTCTGGGACCAGAATTTCTGTCATTAAGTGAAGCAGTTGTTAAGTAAAACATCACATGATCACACTACTTAGTGACAGCAATTCAGGCAGTCCTGGTTTCAGTCACTAGATCAGGAACGTGAATCTATTAAGCCAATAGTAATAATTCCCTTATTTTTCCCCCTGCCTGAAACGAACTGCCTCTGCTTCAACTCCTCCTTATCTGCCTGGCTGTCCCCATCTCTGCTCTTTGGGCAGTAACAGGGATAGGCAGCAGATGCAGAGCAGCCAAAAAGACAGAGGGGAGGGGAGTAGAAACAAAGCAGTTCAAGCAGAGCAGGAGAACATGATTGTGGGACACTGCAGCAGCTGGACCTTCAAAGAGCAGGCATAGCTGCCAATCATAGCTACCAATCATTCAGCATCGTCATAACTTCAAACAGTTGCCGATGAATGGTTGGTAAGAGAGCACTACCTATAAATGCAGAAAAATAATTGTGCTAAGAATTCCATTTTTTCTGTAAGTTGCAGTTTCTTCTATGAATCAGTGGGCCCCAGTTCCTTCCTTATATATGTTTTAACGATATGTAACATGGAAAAGTCGTAGAAAAAAGAATTTCCAATCTTTCAAATGAGCTTGGAGAAGGTTTTGTATGGTTCTTTAACAGCATTTGAGACACAAAGCAATACTGTTGTTGCCTATTTGACATGCACGAATATAGAGTTAGTAGAAAATCCCCATACTATATAGGCTTCTTATTTTGACACATTGCTGTGCTTGTGCTGTGTATTGATTGCCTATATTAAATTTTATGATTGTTGATATTTGTATTTTCAAACAGCACTGTCTGACATCACATTAGAAAACTTCAATCTTGAAGTTCAATTAATTCTATCAGAGGGCATCCATATCACCATCTGAAAAGGATTGGTTTGCTTTCATGACCATTTTCCTGTTCAGTTAAATAACATAATTTGTATTTTAAGTTTACAACTTCCTGGAATCCTCCAGCAGCGCAAATCTTTGTAAAAGATGCTGTTTCTCTTTTAAAGCTTTTGCCTAAAGCATTCCTATATCGCTTTCTCCAAGATTCATGAATAAAAATATTCTTGTGTCTATATGTTAAGGCTGAACACAGAACAATGACAGCTTTCATCTTGGCAGTGATTGTCAACAACTACAACACAGGACAGGTGAGTACAAGTGAAGAAAAAGTGAGGCTTGACTCAGTAACCTTGAATTAAAAAAAGTTTAGACAGCGTTGATTTAAGACCGGGCATTTCTGCCTCATTCCCCTTGGGAATATCTTGGCCTTAAGATTTATATACTGGCAAGAAATGGATTGCGATATCATGAACGCCCTTTCTTGCAGGAAGCTTGCCTCCAAGGGAACTTGATTGCCATTTGCCTGGAGCAGCTGAATGATCCCCACCCTCTGCTGCGCCAGTGGGTGGCTATTTGCTTGGGCCGCATCTGGCAGAATTTTGACTCTGCGAGGTGGTGTGGCGTGAGGGACAGCGCTCATGAAAAACTCTACAGTCTTCTCTCCGATTCAATACCTGAGGTAATCTTCTAGGTTTCAAAACAAATCTCTTCCAGTGGAGGAGACCCTGTTCTAATTAACTGCCTTAATTAGCTTCACTGTGTTACAAAGCTGCTTCAGCTATTGCCTAAAAGGAGGAGCCACACACTGTTTTTTGCAGGATGTCCATTGAGATGTTAAAAAGAGCCAACATGCAACTTTTTAAAAGGCTTTTGGTTAAGCTTGACTGTAGGTGGTCCTTGCTTAGTGACTGCCTCATTTAATGACTGTCCACAGTGATGACAGCAATGAAAAAGTAATCTTACAACCAGTTCTCACATGTATGATCTTTGTAAGGTCTGTAAAGCAAAGGGAAGTGGAAGTAAGGTCATAAGCACAGACATGGTTTCGCTTAGGAATCGCTTGGCTTAGTGACTTGTTTGGAGGACTTCATGCAGTAGGATTGCAATCTGATTCAATTTATTAACTGTATTGATTTTAATTGATAAATGTAATTATTTGTTGCTTGCTTAGAAGATAAAACCGCTCATTGTAAGGCATTCGTTTTAGTGGGGGAACCAAATATGCCTTTTAAGTACTTCGAACGCTTCAACTAGCAGCAGCAAATTAATAAATGTGCAAATAGATGTGGAGAGCTCTTTAATCAATTAACATTTCTTGTTACTTATTAGACTGCATTGAGTACATATTTAAATTTTTTGAACGAGTTTCCAGTATGAATATCCCTTTGCCCAAGTACGTCGGATTGACACCTGCATTTTTCAGTAGAAAATCTGATTTGGCCTATTCTTTGCAAAGACTCTTGTGCTCTGTTATGATGTCTTCTCTTTCTCTTGTAGGTTCGCTGTGCAGCAGTCTTTGCCCTTGGCACTTTTGTAGGCAATTCTGCTGAGCGGACAGATCATTCCACTACAATAGATCACAACGTTGCCATGATGCTGGCCCAGCTCATTAATGATGGAAGCCCCATGGTCCGAAAGGTACTGCAAAGGGGTAGGAGGGACAGATGCTCGTGTCATGGCATTATTCATTTTAAATACAGATACTCCTCAGTTAACATCAGTAATTGAGACTGGAATTTCTGTTGCTAAATAAGTGATGCAATCGTAAAACATGACATCACAGGACCACATCGGTTAGGCAGTTTGTTAGAGTTTCCAGCACTCTCTATTCCCCTGTTAAGTGAGGATTATCAAACAAGTGACAGGTGACTTGTAAGCAGACCAGTTAGTTGGTAAGTAACTGCTGCTATGTAGGAAAGGGTCTGTGGGTGGCTGACAAAGTACAAACATGGCAGGACCAAGGGTAGCTGCTGCCCTGTGGGGGAAGAGTACAGCAGTGGCCCCCAAGGCATGACCCAAGCACCATGGGGCAGGGGGTGGCTGCTGCCAGGTGATGGACAATGTGAGCCACTTACTTGAGCAACTTGCAATTTTTCCTGCTGGCTTCCCCACTTCCCTGCTTGGGGGAGCCAGCAGGGAAGATCACAGCAGAGAGCTTGTGACCACGGAACACTGCTACTTTCTGAAGTGCAAGCCACTTGCCAAGCACCTAGGTCTCAATCATTTGACCATGGGGATGACAGGAACTTTGAGGATCAGTCACTGAATGAATGGTTGCTAAATGAGGAGTAACTGTGCATAACATTCTGAATATTTTTGTTTACTGAGAGGATCCCCCCCCAATACCAGTCCTTATTATGAGTTCTAGGTTATTTGACTCTAAAATTGGCTCATAGGGGGATACCTATTCCATGGGAAATGAGAGGGCTCTACAAACTATACCAAAGTCAAAGAGAGATTGGCAATTCTTTCTACTTTTTATAGCAGTTAAGAGCTTAGAAAGGAGATTTTCCTGTTTTCCACTAGGGGAAAGTACTATGGGGTTTTAAAAGCTGCCTCCTCCAATTCCTCCTCCTTTTCAGTGTTAATCCCTGGTAACTGATTGCGCTTCATCTATGAGCAGGTGTCCTTTTCGCAACGTATCAGTTCTTTCCGATAAGATTCTTCTTCTAACACAAGGGAAATTGGAGCTGACATTTATTTTCCTTTATTCTGCTGACTCATGAGAAGTGGGTAAAAAGGAAGTTAATGCCTAGGGCCCTCTCCAGGGATTTCAGCTGCTTGATGGCTACCTCTGTCATCTTAAATTTTCTGCACTTCTTCAGGGTTTATTATTGGCTGTGGTTCATCAGCGATTTCTGAATGGCAAGTCAGGTGGTACAGATTGCCTTGCCTCTTTCTTCCCTGAGAGTTTCCAAAAGTGTCATTTTTTTTGCACTTGGCTTTGTGTTTTCAGCCTGAAAACTGTTTTAAAAGAAGCGGAGTTAAGCTCGGCTCACAAGGTTAAGATAGAAAGCACTAGTTGGGTGGAGCTACAGGGCTATCACACCTCCAGTGGGCCTTCATTCTAAAACATGAGCTGCTGTTTCTTGCCTGGCCTGATAGCTTTTTGCACCCAGTTGGGTTGTTATCAATGTGGCATTTCAGTGTGAATAACTCTTTTTGAAATAGAAAAGGACCATTGTATAACAAAATAATGAAAAACTGGGTATTTAAAAAGGATAATTTTAGACCTGGCAAAATATTCATTGCTGGAAAGGGTGCTGCTGAATACCAAAGAGAAGTGGTAATTGTCAGCAGCAAACTGTTGTGCTGCACACCACTACTTTTGTCTGGAGCTCCTCTGTTTAAACAACAACAGGGGGGAAGAGGAGGAGGAGGAGGAGGAGATGATTTCTGTCTTATTCTATGCTTTCAGAACTAAGTTTTCAGAAATTTTCATTCCTCTTTTAGGAGATGGGCTCTGTCTCTTAAAAGCTTTTCTGTTGATCTCTGTTTGCGTAGCATAGTCTTGTATTACAGTTTGTGACATCAGATATGAAATAATATTTTCTGCTGGAAACAGAAATACGTGGCAAGGAAAAAGAAAGGATAGGGCAATGCAGGAATGAAAGAGGACAACTTCATTCAAGAAAGAGCTCTCCTTAACCTGGCAGTGGGGTGGGAGAAGGATAGAATAATGATTTAATAAACTGATCTTGGTCTGCTCTGATTTCCTTTTACAGAAAACAAGCATATTAATTGCTTGATAGCACTGAGGTATAAAATGACCTGCTTGATATTAATATATTATAAGCAAACTGTTTTTGATCTTTTCCAGCTGTCTTTTCTATATGTTTTTTCCCCTTCCATTCAATCACATCTTATTTTCAGACATGCAGATTTTCAGATATGCCTGGACAAGTCCCTGCTATTTTCTTGGCAAGGTTTTCAGGAAGTAATTTGCCATTGGCTCCTTCCTGGGACTGACAGAAAGTGATGACCCATGGTCATCCAACTGGTTTTATTACTAAGGCAGAACTAGAACTCACAGTCTCCCAATTGCTAGCCTAATGTCATAGTAGTAGATCTGTAAATAAAATGCAAGGATATGTTTCTGATCTTCCTTTACAGCTGCCATTTTCTTAATTCATTGTAGATAGACATTTCAAGAAAATAAATCTGAGATTTTTTAAGATTTTCAATTGCCAGTTTCCTAGTTTCATCATCTGGTAGTTCCAGAAAATAATTGCCTTTTTTAATAAGACAGGTTATCCTCAACCTAAACTAAAATGGCAGTGTGGTAAATTATATTTTAATGGATAAAATTATCTATGGATAGGAAAAGAAGGCTATAATTTCATCTCTTCCTATTCACTTCCCAGGACAGCACATCAGTTTGACAATGCTGGTTTGAATCAAACAATAAGGAGGGTAGCCTAGCCAAGAATAAAAAGCTTTTTGTTGCAAATAATACATTTTGGAGTCAAATGTTCCTGCTTTCTTCAGATCCTTATGCCAAAGTGACGGAAAAATCAATGTTTCACCAAGCAACATATAAAAAAAATGCCCTCATTCTCACTTGAGGTGACAGATGGGTATTAATTTTGTCAGAATGCTGATTTCTAGGGACTTGATTTTCTTGCCTTTTTTTTTGATGCTCACAAAAAGCTTTCAACTACACTAAAGCAAAAGAGAATATATTGGCTAAGCATTGCTGTCAGCTGTTTTCAAGGAAGGAAATGTATGTGCTCTTCAGAAGTAAACAGGAAAGCCCAATGCATTTTTGTAAAAGCTGAGAAATGTTGTTGAATCCAGAAATCTTAAGTCTGGTACAAAAATGTTAAATTCAGGCTGCTACATAAATTCTCTCTTTGCTTTCCTTCAAAACCTGTAACATGGCTGCTTAAATTAAATAACCTAAGAGTTTCCAATCAGAGTCTCAGTGATAGCTGAAATCTGGAACTGATTCGCCTAGAATGATATTTCCATCCTTGGTACTATTTTGGAATTACTAAGGCACCAGGCTAGAAAGTGGGAGATGGTAAGTTCAAATCCCGCCTTAGCCATGAAAGCCAACTGTTTAATTTTGGTCCAGTCATTCTCCCTCAGCCCCATCCACCTCCACAGGGTTGTTATTGTGAGGAAAATAAGAGGAGGAAGGCGTGTTAGGTATGTTCACTGCTTTGCTTTATTTGAAAAACTAATAAAGGCGGGATACAAATAAACAAGTGAAATGTTTGTATGCAGATAATATAGTGTTCAAATTGATATTCCTAAAGTTTTTCTCAAAAAGATCCCTCAATTAACTGTTAGATAATATTTGTGCTTATTTATGCATCATTGCAGGACAGAGGGACCAGAGAAATGTGCATTATCAATGTTAATATAATGTTTTTCATGTATGGATTCATACACTGTACTTAATCATGATAAGGTAAAGGTTTGGGTTGGGTTTAGCATATTATGGGAAGTCATCCGTTGTGGTTGAACACAATGCTTATTGGCTTAGTCCATTGCTTGAAACCTTGTTTAACTAAACTTTGGCTTTATACAGTGTGAAAGCCTATTCCGTGTGTGTAGGGATCTTTCTAAAAACAATCCAAAGAGGTCAAATATTATTTAGCAATAAGGGAGGATATTATTTTTCAAATTAAAAGTTTATCATAGGTGTTTCCCAAGGAATGAGGAAATTTCTAAAAGGCCTCTGAGACTTTTATACTGAAATCTGTCTGGAGTTTGGAATTTATTTGTAAAAGATTATATAACGTTAAGAGCCAGTTTGGTGTAATGGTTAAGTCATCAGACTGGAAACCAGGAGTCTATGAGTTGCATTAGGCACAAATCCTGTTCCGTGACTTTGGACCAGTCATTGTCTTTCAGCCCTAGGAAGGAGGCGATGGTAAACCACTTCTGAAAAAACCTTGCCAAGAAAACTGCAGGGACTAGTCCAGGCAGTCTCAAAGAATTGGACATGCTTGAACAGAAGAAAAAAATACAGTGTTCACAACCTTGAACAGAACCCATATTTTGTAGAAGAATATGCTTTCTGCTCTTCCTCCATTCCTTTTATATTTATAGATAGACAGGGTGATTGTGACATTGTACTCTAAGCAAGCTTAGGACAGATTTTCTTTGTTTAGCTAGATGGGATAGATAGTTTTCATTTTCTAAATTTAAAATCTTTGCCAGAAAGTAAAGAGACTGGAAGGGTCTTTGAAAATCATTTACAATAATTCTATGCCTATTACTGGAAATTGTTACTCTTCATATCCCAAGCAGATGGCCATCCAGTTTTGCTTAAACAACTCCAGGAAAGGAGAGTCTACCACCTTCCAAACGGTTCCATTTTTGGACAGCTCTTGCCATTAGATCTGTCTTGATGTCCTGCCAAAATTTATTTCCTTATAGTTTAAATCTATCATTTCTGGTACTGTCTTCTGAAATAACTGTGAGCTATGCATCATGTCTTCCTGCAGTCTTCTCCAAGCTAAGCGTACGCAGTGTCTTCAACTGTTCTTTCTAATTCTTTTTTGTCCTTCCAGGCCATTCATCATTTTGATTACTATCTGTACATGCTGTCTGGCTTGTCAATGCAGTTCCCCAAACTAAAGATGGAGTAAAAGAATGATGTCATTTTTTTGAGTCTGACATTAGATTTAGTTTTAGTTGAAGCTTTAGCTAACTATGATAATGAAAGTATTACAGTAAATGTTCCTATAACTTCAATGTTACTGATAGAATATCAGCTATTAACCAGGCACTTGGTAACAGCTCTTTAGTGATGGAACATTCTTGGGGTTAAGCTCTTGGGGTTCAGATATCTATTTTTTGTCTTTGTTTATCAACAGGAGTTAGTTGTGGCACTGAGTCACCATGTGGTTCAGTATGAAACCAATTTCTGCACAGTTGCCTTACAGTTTATGGAAGAAGAGAAGAACTATGCATTGCCCTCACCTGCTGCTCCAGGTACTCTATCATCTTCTTTGGAAGTATGAAGTTTTAGAAGTTGATTCTGTGAGCTATCTTTTTTAACAGGAAACTGGGGGGGGGGGGAATCTTGTTTCCTTCTCCCATTTTCTTGAATTGTATTAGCTTATCTGAGGTCTAAAAGTGCAAAAATCCCAATTGTGTTGGAAAACAAGATAAAAAATAAATTTCAACTTGTTTGAAGTACTTGAACTCCCCTAGCATTATGCTAATTCATATGTAACGCCAGCAGTTTGTTTATTTATTTTTATGTAAAGAATTTATACCCTGCTGATCAATTTAAGAAGCTCCTAGAATAGCTTACATAACAATATTTTTAAAACAAAAACTCAGTCCCTGGGTTTTTAGCTTTACAATCTTACAGCATCAAAGAAAAAGAAGATGCAGAACGAAAAGGAAAAGAAGAAAACAGACAATTTCTCTCATGATTCCCACAGATGGCAACTGTGATAAGAAACAGCCAAAGAATACCCTATGCAGCAGAGCAGATAGTTCTATTATTTGTCATTATAGGGCGCTTTGGCCTTGCTGAACATTGAAGAGGACAGCCAGATGTTTAGGTGCAAGGGGGGGAAGCCCACTTTTGGACTAGAATTTTATGTGTTTCTTCTGTCCTTTCTCCTAATGCAGAGGTCTTCAAACTTGGCAACTTTAAGACTTGTGGACTTCAACTCCCAGAATTCTCCAGCCAGCTCTGCTGGCTAGAGAATTCTGGATGTTGAAGTCCACAAGTCTTAAAGTTACTAGATTTGGGAACATCTGTCCTAATGCATTTGATTTGTGTGCAAAAAATTATTTGGGGATGGGGGACAGTTGGTTTATTTAGATTAAAGCTTCCTGCTTTTCATTCCCTGTGTACTCTTCTGTGGAATAATGCCTCCCCGAAAAATATTAAAGTAGTCTCTTCCCTCCGAAATTTCAGAAAGTCTAAAAATTTAGTTGTTCTATTAAGCCTTGAGGGCAGGATGTTGTGACTGTTCTTCTGCACAGTGATTAGATTGTTTGGTTTGAAGTCCCAATTTATTTATGTGCTTTATAAATTTTACTTCTGATTTACTGTATTTTTCTTTAAATCCAAATTAGGAGGTTGTGAAATTATATGCTGCTAGGGTAAATTTGTTTGAAACGGTTTATATGTACCCTATAAATAAAATGTGTACTTTAATAGCTACTTTGCCTTAAAAGGGGGGAGGCATTTTAAAAAGTGGAAACATAGACCAAGATTATTTGTATAGGAAGTAAATGGTTATAAATAAAATGCACAAGAAGCTGTCTTTGGTGTGCATTATAAAAGCCTTTTTATAGCCGACTGCCTTTTGGAGAAAAATGGGATAAAAAAAATTAAAATTGCAAGCAGTCATAATATAATGGAATTCTTTGGGTAAATATTTAGGCAGGAAAAAGATCATTAAGCTTTTTTTTTTTTTTTTTTTTGGTGTTTCATTGTAATATCCAGACTCACACCTCAGTAATGATACCTTGCTGAACTCAAACGAGGTCAGCTTTGTTTGGGGCTGTCACGTAAGTCTCATAACTAGCAGTTCTTGTAGGGTAGCAGTCTGTACATTTTCCTCTACTTTAAATAAGGAAATTGAAATAGTATCTCAGTTTTAAAATGTTGCTTCTGAGAAATCCCATTGATTGTCCCATTGATACTAAACTAGAACATTTGTCCCATTAATACTAAACTAGAACATTTGTTAAAAGGAAGGAAGAAAAGCAGTCTAGCTTTTTAATTTGTTGCTTGTGGAGTCCTTCGTGCTCTCTGAGCTTAGTTGCTTTCTTGTAGACATTTTATTACTCTACTGTGCCACTATTACTCTTCAGTGCCAGAAGGGAGTAAGGTTTGCTGTCTGTTTTTAGATAGATAGATAGATGATAGATAGATAGATAGATAGATAGATAGATAGATAGATAGATAGATAGATAGATAGATAGATAGATAGATAGATAG